AATATTCAGATGTAAGCGCATAACAGCTTTCTGCCTTAGAAGGGGCTTACCATCCGGAAGAAGCTTTTAAGGAATGCTGGTTCTAATTTAATTTATTAAAAGAAAATATTGCGGATAGAAAGGGACTTTTAGAGACTCATGTTCCTTATAAATTGTAATTCTATAAATTGATTTTAGAAAGTGGATTTTAATTTTTTTTTTTCAAAAAAGGCAGGAGAAAATAATATAAAAGGTTAAATTTATAAGAAAACTAGTTTTAGTTTGCATGCCGGAAGTGATGCACGTGAAGATAACCTGTATAAGAATAGTTTCTCAGAGGAATTATGTATACTTTATTGAAGATATATTGTTATTATTATAAAGAGTTGTACTGGAACTTAAGTAGTTTAATTAATGAGCGATGACCTCCTAAATTTATGAATTTCCGAATTCAGTTATAAATATGTGGTACATTTGTCTAAATATTCCAGTTATTAGATTACTAATCAGTAATATGTTAAAATATTTGTGGTATGGAATTGCCAAGTTTGCCTTTGTTTTGTTATGCTTATATTAACTATAAAAATGCAGATGAATTTCAGATCTCTAAAAATTTTAAGATATATATTGAATTTAAAATATATCACCCGGTATATATTACTTATTATATATTACTTTAATATTAGGTATGGTTTATGTGCATGTAGTTTATATCGTTGCTTTTTTCATTCATTTGTTTGCATCTGTTCACGATATAAATAAAATCTTTATATTTTTGTTTTAAAGTAATACATTCGAAAATTGTCGCTATGTCATTGCGATGAAAGGATGAAAGTGAGCGGCATTTTCTCACTCGCTCTTTTTAGCTCGTTTAATATGTTAGTGCGTACATTTGTTGAGGATAATTTCATCAAAACGCTTAAATTGTTAAACTGACTAGCCGATCTTGTTTTGTGTTAAGGGAGCGGAAGCGCACAAACGGAGACCTCCCACTGTGCTACTTTTATCTGAGTACTACCAAAACCGAATGACTCTTTTTATTTTATTTGAAATTAAGCTATAAAAATTGGTCGTGTTTGCGAAAAATTGTAAACATTTAATAAAACATATAAAGATTTGAATGTAAGCATTTAATATAACATAATTGTAAACATCTGTAATGTAAAATGTTAATGAAGCTTCAAGAATGCGTACATTATGTTCAGAATTACGATGCCAATATATAAATAACTGACCCCGTTATTCAAGACTGTGCTGTGTAAACTAGTAACACTAGTTACAGCAAGAACTTACTAGTTATGTATTTCGTATCGGCAAATAAATTCTTATTATACGAAAATTTCCATAACTAACAAAAATTAGCAATATTGAATGCATATCTACCACTTAATACATAGACTATGCTGTCATTATTTTCAAAAGATGTTTCAAACTTCATACGCGAATTTTCTGCCTCTTCTTGATAATGTTATTTCCGAATTCCTCTCGGGCAATAATGAATTCACTTTACTTCTGGGCCTCGTGAAGCGGAAGTCCCCTTCTCTAACAGCACACTGTAATTAATAATTTGCAGTTATCAATACGGAATGACGGGAACGGATAATCGATTATTCGCTCTTCCTGGCGATTCCGCGCGACTTGTATCGACGAGACACTGTCGCGCTGCACAAGTCAACTGTTTCTGATATTCCTGTATCGATGAACTCGTGAACATAATGCATTCGAAACTCAATTCTCCTACCCTTAATTAATGTGATTACCGTTTTGTTTTCGGGAATGTCTCATTCCTGCTTATGAATTTCCGTAGAAGTCTGACGACAAAGAACGATAGTGATTCTAAAGTACCTTGCTACTATTTGAAAGACTTTTTCGGAATGGGAATGTAAAATGTCAATTGGCCTTCACAACGAATATTTCACATATAATCCGTCCACCAGGAGAAGAGACTTGACTTCGCTTGTTAGAAAGGGGATTTCATTTCATTGCCGAAAAAGGTGCAGAGAACCTATCCAAAGTTGTGAATCAGTCCAAATGCCTTTGTAGAGCAAGTGCCGTTACTCTCGGTTTACCTGAAGTAACTAAGATGCCGGGATCGTCCGACATCATGTGATGTAGGCGTGACCAAATCTCGTCTCGTGATGGAGATACTATAGTGGTAGTTAACTTAAAGGTAATAATAGTTCACTTACATAAAGCATACATCTTCTAGTTTTTAACTGTAAGATCCGAACCATAGATCTTTCATTTCGAACCGTTACGTGCTGACCGCTGTGCTAAATATCGTGCACGGGGAAGTAGCGTATTACCTGCAACCATATTTTATCTTGTTCCAAAATACGGGATTTATTTAAATATGAAACACCCTTCTAGTTCAGTTTACTTTTATCTATCTTTATACGTACATTATATCGCATACAACCCCTACTGTGAATTGCGTCTCCGAGTTAAATTCCTTAACTATCGAAATCTTTTCTACTCTGTTTCGTAATGGGGCTTCCCCCCCTAGGTACTTCCTCTAGACTTGGATATGTAAGGCAGAAAATTGCCCCTAATTGAACTCCGTGAAAACAATTTTCGTTTAAATTAATTATGACACTTAAGAGCTTTTAAAATGGAAAAGTTAATGGTGAATTTGAGAATTTCTTTCTAGCTCCTTAAAGCAACGATGAATTCAGAGGATATCTTTTTTATTTCTCCGTTTTTAGTTTAAAACCGGTGTTTGTATTTTTGACATCCTTATGAAATACGGTTTATTTTCTTTCTGGTGAATAATAAAAGGTATTTTCGCAGTTTAAAAATGCGAGCCTTTTCAATAACTTGTCTCGTGGGCTATTTTTATCAAACACCGAGAGGAAATAAGTTCTTTTCGATGCATTTCTGATTATTGCAGATTCAGACGCTTGACAAGAAACAGCCATATTGTTAAAATAATATTGTGACAAGGGATCGTTAAACCGACATTGTTTTGTCTATTTTTATTCGGAACAATGAAAAAGTATCTTTTTCTGTGCTCTTCGTTTACTTTGATAAGTAATTTCTTTTTCAATTTTGATAAATCGGAATTTAAAAATATTTGTACATTCTTTTACAAGAAGACTTACAAAATTCGGAAACTAAAACGTTCAACTCTTTTTACAAAGAAAATATTATAGTTTTTGTGTTGCGACTAAGCTCTAACTAAACGATTAGGGTTTCTAAGATCCCAGCATAAGAACCTCTCATATTAATTCTTGAGCACTGTTTGTCAAGCCTTTTGCTTTACCCCTCCTCCTGTTTTTAGAAAGGATTAAATGCTCACTGCTTTCACCTGGGAACCCACATTTATGTTTTGGACAAATATATGTAAAAAAATAGTAGTGATGAGGTTTTCGTTATTTGTATATTAATAAAATTAGCATAAACGCTCAGTATTTAGCTAAATTGAATAAAAGTTCGGAATACGAACTAAGGCAGTAACCAAATCAGTTCAAATCTCCGCAATTAAGTATTTGCAGCCGATTTCTGCACAGTATTCCATTAACCACGTTAAAACTGAGATATATGTTTGTGCGGCCGAAACTGTTGGTATCTAGATCTAAATTTAAGCATTTGAAGCATTTCCACACACGCAGAAATTGTTTTTGCTTTCTTCCTTGCTCACCTTAGAGCTAAAAATTCGATTCATTGAATTTATTAAGCAAATCTGTCCTCTAACCTATATCTGTTTATGGATTTATCAAGTTTTCTCTTAAAACAGCATCTTTATCTTCAAAACTACTGTAGCACTCTTTTGAAAAAAAGTTTGCAAAAAAAAGTTGAAATTGTTTCTCTTTGCTGGCCAACGAACATTTGTATGAAAAAGCAGGCAATTCAAATCTTCATTGTTCCAGTACAGTAGTGTCCAAATAATTTCCCATTCGAAGAAATACTTCTGATTTTATTCACTGCTCTGATGACATGAAGTTAGTTAGGTAAGTGTTGACTCAATTATATTTATATTGACTCGTATTTTTGGTCACTAGATGCTACTGATGAATAACCACAGTGTATTCCGAATATATTTGATACCTCTGCTTTCAAATATGCAATGAAAACATTGAAGCATGCAATTATTGCTGAAGCACCATTAGAAGCAATAGACAATATTTTGTTCAGAGGAATTTTTTCTGATTAAAAATATCTTTCATAACAAGAACTAATGATTCTCCTTTAGTATTAGCTTTTAAGTTTGGGCAGATAACTTTTGGCGGATTTGTTGATCCTATACGGAGTGCAAATACATGTCAGAAGTATAAGGAATAATTTCTAAACAAAGTTGACTCATTTAGTATGAAGTATGGATATTTTTTAAAAAACGTTACATAGAGATTTTTCGTTGTTTTCAGCCATGCCATCGGTTTTTTATTGAACGCTGACGTGACCCGAAGAGCTTTTGTCCTATATCATCTTGGTTAGTAACTTGATTAGTGACATAGTATTGTCCGTAACCTTCTTTATGGCTGGCAGAATCAGTTCTTCCTCGGCAGTATGCGGTTTTCCTGAGCTTGCAATAAGTAAGGAATTTTATAACAAGCGCTCCTTATCATCTTGTTTGGATGCTGCTGTATAGAGACTTATCACTATTGTTTGAAGTCCTTGAAACTAATCCAAATCTCTGTCCATTTTATTTGGGTGGACTTTTGACTGATGCTCTGGAATGTTTCATAGCTTCGTTTGAGAAAACATTTTGACATATTACAAGTATTGGTAACGTATTATTTGAAGGATACTTGATGAAACCATATTTCAAACAGTCAGGTGTACTACTGCAATTATATTTTATCAGGCTTGTTAATAATTGTAACAAAACAAAAAAGATTAAGGATATTTGTTTAAAGAGAAAAATCAAAATTTTTTCACCTTGAAGATATTCAAACTAAAAGTATTTCAAAGAGTAATTCTGTAAGAGAAATTCTGCAACTATTTTTTTATTATTCGAATACTTGTCATATTTTTTCCATGTTATTAAGATGTAGATATAATATAAATTTTTAATGTTTCAGTTTCCATTACTACCAGCACTCCCTGAAGTCCAAGGTTTTCTGGTGCTACTGAGCAAGTCACTTCTATAATATTTAGTATATTGTAAATTTATTTTTGTTTGTAACGGACAGGATTTTACCGCTGATTAAAAAGAGTAGCCCCTTTTAGCAGATAAATAAAATAAAAATGAAATAAAAAAAAATCTGAAAGGTTTCAGGTTTTAAATTACGTCCAAAGGGGCGTTTCTATAACATTTTGTCTGTTACCTTTATTTATTAAATATCACGTTCTTCCCACTTACTATAAAATTCAGTTCAAGAGCAATATCTCAAAATAGTTTTAAATTGATCATGTCTATAGAATTTTCGATGCAGAGTCTCCCTCGCTGGAGATAAAAATGTTTTTTTCTGTACAACGTTGCCATTGTTCGCTTTGAAATCCTTGAGTTTGTTAATAGAAAATTCGTTAAAGTTTTACAAAATATGAAATAGATAATAAAACATATTCCAAATTTCAAATTTGGGCTTCTACATGCCCATATTCCCAGTAGAATTACGTCATTCAAAATTTGATGGCTGTATGTACCGTTGTTTTATCACAATGCGAGAAATATGCATACAATTATGCAGATTCTTCATTATTTAATTTCTTCAAATATAATGCAGGACTCTAACATTTGGTGACAACAATTTGAAAAGTGAAACGCACATTTATAGTGTAGTGAACCCACGCAAAATCGTAAAACGGAAATAATAGTCCTTCAGGGACAAAGACCCTTTAGACTAATAAATTGAGTGAGATTTTTGCTAAAAAATTATTTTTAAGTTAAGAATGTCATTAATTAACAGCAAATTTTAATTAATAATCATCTAGTTAGTGTGAATTTGAATCAAATATAAACAAATCTATTTGCTGGTAACACATGGAAGCATTTGCACGTTTTTTTTTTCTCTTATTTTCGTCTTACATTTTCAGATCTCGAAGTACATGCAAAATGAATTGAAAATTAATACCCAGATAAGAAACTTGTAGAACTATATTGAAATTTTATTTCATCAAAGCTCCAATTCATCTTCTTTGCAAGTTAAATGAAATGGAATGTTTGGCGAAATGAATTTATTCAATTTTTGAAAATGCCGCAAGTCAAGAACACCCATTCGAAACCGCCATATCCGGCGCCTGAAAAATCATTTTGTCGCAATTACGAAACTACGTTTTGTATGTTTCATTGTAATTATCCCGTTTCAATCTTCGGGAGAGGGGGGGGGAGGGATGAGATATATTTCTATGACTTCCTTTTCCCTCCCAACTCACTGGCTTCGCCTTCACAATCTTGTTTCGCGTCGAAAGAAATCCAGCTGAAGATAATGAAAACTGGGCTTCGTTTGAAAAGAATTATGAAAACTGAAAACAATGAAGTTTAAAAAAAGTGACTTGCTTTAATTCTGTTTTAAAACTGAAAATGAAATATTTTAATGAAATCTTTTCATTTTCATACATGTACCTTATTTGACTCTCTTATCAAAAGAAATTATCAAAATTACAGCTTTCTCTTTTCCAAAGTTCCATTTCTCGAAACTATTGTACGGAATAATGCATTTGCAGCGGTCGAAACATTTCGGATGCTCTTTCCATAGTTGAGAATTTTTTTTTTTTTTTTACGACTAATGTTTCGAAGCAAATATTTCTAGATTTTATTCTTTTATTTTTGAATAATTACCTAAGCTTCTGCTGCTGTAAAATTTTTCTGAAAATTTTATCATCATGCTTAGTTAGGAAATAAAAGTTATTAACTGCAGTTAAAGATTGATTGAAACTACATATTATTATTCCATCATGAAACGGTTGTAACAGTTCGAGAAGTCAAACTGATTGCTGAAACTAAGAATTGGAAATTAGTACATTAATTTTTAACGTCCTTTTATTCTGAAATTTTTATTATTTATCGTGCGATAATTAACAATATTATTTCCGCAATTTTTCAGAATGTCATAATGGTATTTTGATACTTTCCAGTGCAAAAAAGCGTAATTTGTATATAAATTATAAAAATTTCTTATAATTATATAAAAGTGTTAAAAAAAAAAAAGAACCAGCTTACAGCGCGTAATTGGATATTGGTTTTAGAACTACTATTTTCACGATAGTATTGTTCATAAAATGTCTGTTGCTTAAAAAGCTATTTTCTTGTAGCTATTTACTGTTTTTAATACACCTTTTTTTTTTAAAGCACAAAATGGGCTATTAGGCTCGAGATGGAATTTTCCGTCGATTCGCTATTATACGGTGTATTAGTTTATAAATTGCTGCCACAAAACATTATCGTCCTGTATTATTTTTAAAGAAATTAAATAGTGAATAATTTTCTTAAACTCGCGTTAATAATTTTGCGTAATTGTACCTGTGCTCAAACTCACTTTTCTGCTTTATCAGAGTGTTATGTTAAAAATTCAAAAATTATTAAAAAATATCTCAGTTCATATTTTTCTGTTATTCTTTGTAGTGTTTCCCGCAGGTGCTTTTTAACAGTCTTATGAGGGTTTTTTTTTTTTTTTTTTTTTTACATTCTACGAACTAGAAACGGTTTCTTTTTCTAAGGATCTGGAGTAACAATTAGGTACTACAAAGAGTCTTTAGAAATCACCTGGAAGAATTTGTCATCTCCCATTCTAAATGTCTGTCAGTGATTGTTAAATTCGTCTACTGTTTCTATGAAGACTATTCTTAGCAATTCCTGGAAATTGCAACAAAGGCGATTATATTTGACAAAAATAGTAAAATTCAGCCTGAGCAGGTGAAAATGGGCGGTAGTATATCTCTTGCGATCATCTAAACAATATTTCAACATTTGTCAAATATTGGATTGATTAAAGGTTTGGCTTTCTGCTGAACAGATCGTGGATTCGAGGCTTGGTTAAGATGGAATAAAATCGTTAGGTTATATTATTGTACAAACTGATAACACAAAAACGATGAAAGTCCCGAAATGCTGTTTCGCTGTAAAAGAGAGTATAATTCCAGAATTTTTGTTAAAAATATTCATAATACAGTACCCGAGACTGTTTCGTGCACATAAACTTGTTTGTTTGCATGAAGAATGTCCAGACTGTGGAAAATTCAGTTTTTGTGCAACGGTTCTCATGTATTTCATCGGTCTGTTATGAACTCTTTAACTTTGATTTGTTTGACAGATTCAACCAATGTTAATACTTCTGAGTGTTGAACACTTCTCGCGTCTATAATATTCTGCATCCAGATACAGCTTGTTAGAGTATTTGAAAATATGCTTTTTATATATTTCCTGGGATACTTTTCTTTTGTTTTTACGGGCATTTTCGCTTTAACTGATGAAAATACACTTTGCGCTTTTTTTAATACTGTTTGTGATTCTGAATCCACCAAGCCATCTCTATAACACTATTAGGAAATCTTTTCCTAGAAAGTTGTTTCTGAGTCATTCTTTTTTTTTTATCTCAGACCGTATTTTAATATGAAGCTTTGTTTTCTTATTATAGCAGATCGTACAAACAGATCATTTTAAGATCGTACGGTAGTTTCTTCCTCATTTCCACGTACTTTCGAGATGGGCTTTGGAAGCACGTTCGGCTAACAGTCGGGAGGTCCAAAATTCGAAATCCACATTTTTCATGTTTCCTGCTCCAGAGAACTTAATGACTACAGGATTATTATGGGAAAGAGGGTAACATTTATGCGGTTTCTCGATGTGCACCTATAGAACAATATTTCTGTGATTTTGATGCAAAATTCCATGTGAATCTATTACCAATTAATTACTTAAAACTTATTAACCCTAAGTTAATTAACTGCTTTACAAAAGCTGGTACATTAATTAATTTTAGAGCAGCCATTCAAGCTGTTTTTACAAACCATCTTTTAGAAGTAACAGCTGAAAGTGAAATGAAACGAAGCTCTAAGTTTCGTCAAGAGTGAAAATCGTTATTATTGATTTTCAACGGTACAGTTACACGTAGTGATTTAGTGATTGACAGCAATGAAATGACTAACCGTTGCCCAAAATGGAACTAAAATTCATTTTGGACGGAGACACTTTAAAAGAATGTTTTAAGAAAATGTCTTGAAAATTATGAAGCAAAAAATAATGAAACGGGCTGAAAGTAAAATATGGTATAACATTCAAGAATGCTAGAACTCATTGAATAATAAATTTCATAAAGAGGTAATAGTAAATTTCAGAATAAAACGAACTGTGCTTACATGAGTGAATACCGAAGTTGGATGAAGAAATGGGATATCCAACTAATATATGCTAACGTGTTGAACTGTGATCACCTTCCGTAATGTGCTCCATTTGGAAAAAGACATTCAGCAGCGTAATAGTGTTGGTAAGCTGCACTCTGATGCTAGGACTATGACACAAGTAATGCTATGTGACCTTTGCCTATTCTCGATTTTTGTTTTGCTTTATCAATGTTTACGTAAAGTAAGTATTGTTATAGGGAAAAATTTCGGTTTCAGATTTTAACGGAAATATCCATTTTCGCTATTTTTTATGTGACGTCTGTATGTACGGGCAGCATAAAGGACTCTTTATTCGGAAACAGATTGTAAAGTGAATTCAAAATGGACTTTTCCCTGACCTATGTACATATGTGTCTCTCATAGCTCAAAATGATTAGCCATAGAACGTTAAAAGTTTATATATGGAACTGCTATAACATCTGTTTGTGCACCTCCCTTTTTCTTATTACAAACGGCTATAACATAAGTACTCGTACTATATAGTATGTATGTGTATATAGTCTCTAAAAATTAGTACATGTTGAAATAAAATAAATTCTGTATGTAAAAATCCTGCGCTAAAGCAGCAAAGAATTGAATTAAAAGATTAATTTCAAAAGCAGCAAAAATTACGAATATCCTATCTAAGGAAAAAGGCGTTGTTGTTGTTGACTAATTCTCACATGCCCTGACCTATACTCAGCCCAAGATCATGAAATTCCTCGTGGAATGGAGCGCAAGATACGCCTGTCGTTGGCAACAGCCTCGAGCATGTAAGAGGTGACAGTGCGATTTGACTCAGAGGAGATAATCCCGGGGAACGGGTCGGAGGGTCTCCCACCCCTCTTCCCCTACAACTAACCTCTCGAAAGGATTTTCGTCTCGCCGCATATTTGAAGTTCTCCCATGCCGCACGGACACTATACATTTACAAATCTCGATGCTTTTTTCCGGGATTCGAACTCGGCTCTTCGA